GTACAGAGCAACACAACAATGCCCCTCCTCTTTCTTTGCTGCACACTGCCAGGTAGATGGCTGATTCAAGAAATAAATATTTTGCTCTTTGAAATATTATCCATCACATTTACACAGACAGTCATGTTTTTTTTTTTTTTTTTTTTTTTTTGTTAAAGGAGTGGTCCTGTTGCTCCTACTACAAAAATACAGCTTAAAAACTGTAGTTACTCACAACAGACTGGGATACATGAGCAGATTGCCCTACTAACCATTATCGCCTTATGTATTTGCACAAAATGTGAACAAAATACTAAAATGTGATATTAATCTACACAATAACCGCTATTACTTAAACAGTACAACTGGATACAGACTAATAGATTAGGTGTTTTTGTTATATAATATTGTCAATAAAATTGTAATCTATGGGTCCAATCAATCTAACAACAAATAAATGCTACATATAACATTAGCATATCTGGAATAACTAAACAGTATGTTAAGATAATTAATCTAACCATATGAATACTTTTTCCTACACTTTTAGTTTCATATAGAGCGCTGTAATGTTTGACATTTTCATTTTTTATGTGTAAATTCCATAATACTGAGTATTTACTCAAGGTTATACCATAGAAAGCTCATACTACGGTAATGTACGTGACTAAGATTTAAGCATTGACCTGTCTTGAAAGGTAAGTGGAAACAGTGTACAGAAACCGCAGGAATTCATACTTTTGACACAGCATATAGCAGCATACACCAGAAGTTATAATTACTAAGTGGTGCTCTTCTGGCAGGTGCACCACCTCTTGGTTTTTGTAACTTGGCAGATGCTGTGCAGACGGTGCATATTTAAAATGAACAAGCTCAATCAAAGCAATTTGTGAGCAGGTCTCTCAGTCTGAGGATCACTTTAATCGAACGGTGCAGGAGCCTGTGGGATTTACTGAGGAACTAAAACTCAGACGAGAAAGCTGGCAACAATGAAGAAAGCATGACTCATTACAAGCAGGTTTGCTTTGACTGATTCTATGCTTTAGTATTTATTCTTCTCTTAATAATCATTTTTAAAGATGTCCTGATCAAGAGTCACTTAGTATCTGGAATTTAGAGACAATTTTTAAAAATCTTTCATTAAAATAAATGACATGACACTTATTTTAATGAATGATTTTTAAAAACTGTCTCTAAATAAGCATATTTTTCAAGCAAAATATGCTTGAAAATTCAGAAGTTTTTAAATTGGGTGAAATAACATCTCAACAGTAAAGCACTCACATGACATTCTGAAATTTGCCCTCTATCACTGGATTTATGCATTTTTTCTAATAGCAAAATGTAATTTACCAATCCAAAAGAGAGTAAATTGGTACAGTCTCTGTATAATAAATCCCAACTCTAAAGAAAACTCAAGACCATAGTAGATTATAATATTCATCACAGTAAATAGTACATCAGTTGTTGATGCATGACGGCATGCTTGTTGATGGATGGTAGTAAATCTTGAGGTTGTTTTTTTTATATTTTTCATGACAGAAAGAGACAGGATGAATCATATGGCCGTTCATAAAGCAGCCTTTGTTTGCAGACACAGTCTGCTTTTCTGTCCCTAGAGGAGTTTGTTTTTTACTCTCTGAAAAGATTAACAACAGTTTATCTGTTTTCACCGAAGCTGAGAAAAGAAACATATGCGGTGTTTTTATAGCCGTATCAAATGTAAGAGACATCCAGAGACATAAAAAGAGATCAACACACTGATCTCAGTGTGTGTGCGTGTGTTACATGTGTTGTGGTTGTTGCTCACAATCAGTGGATGACCATGTATGTACATCCTACATAGAAGCAAACACCAACAGCTCCTGCTTCTTTTTGCCCTCTGAACCCAACGGCTCAGTTTCAGGCACACACACACTCATGAAGTCGCACTCGGGGCCAGGAGCTTGTAAACCTAAATAGCTCCTCACCAAAGGGCACCAGCAACACTGCAAATATCTCACTCTGCAGGCTAGATCAGGTCTTAAAAAAAAAAAATCAGAGCATGTTATTTCTTATTCCTGCTACATTTCATTCTCGTGGGAAACGGCTGAACCTTAAATGGATCTGAGAGGAGTGAGGCACAAGATAAGTCAAGAGGGTGAGGAAGGAGGTGGTGAGGGGAGATATGGAGAAAAATCCAGACAGGAAAATGGAGAAATCCCCTGTATAAACTGGACAGTGAGTATAGCCAAAGAAATACCAAGAGCCCGGAGACAAAGGGAGAAGTATGTTTTTCATTTTCACAGCTCTGTGGGAAAGCAAACCAGAACAAAGCACAGTGGGCATTTTCTACTTCCCTGGCTGTTAACAAACAGACAGCCAGTAAAATATTGATGCTTCAATCCCAGGAAAGAAATGTCTGAATGATTTTGGTACATCTGAGTGGGGAGAATTCACCTATCTATAATTAATACGGCTGAAATGTTAATAAGTGGATGAGAAAGCACGGAAATGCAGACTGAGGTTGGAAAAGTAAGCGTGTGTGCTACTATATGTGTATTTCTGTATTTTTCTCTGTTGCTATCTGTGCCAGAAAGTTTACATTTCCAGTTTTTTACACATACTGCCTCCCAAAGGTCTCTCTCTACTTTGCGTAGCATTCACCCATTTTGTGGCAGCCACAGAGATAAGAACTTGCAGACAGTAGATCTTGTGGCACTTACGATTTTCACATGTTTTAGGTCCACAGATATCTTGTAAATGTCACCAGCTGTGCTCAGTTTGTCCTCTCTAGGTCCAGTATATAGTGAGTCAGCAATTTTGTATTGTTTAAAATGTCTGCAGTAACTTCTACTTTCAGTATTGACTTGGAGGTTTGCCATCTGATGCAGCAAAGGAGTTTGAAGAGGTTGTACAGAATATTGGTCAAAATAAACCACACTGAACTACCACTTGTGAATGCTAACTTACTTAGCTAATTATTGTAAGTTTCAGACTCCCTGAAAATCTCCAAACCACTGTTATTTTTTACATGTCACAAAAATTATATTAATCCTCCACTGATGGTAGTACAACCGCTGCAAAAACACAAAATTTTACTAAGTACTGTATTTGGTCTAGTGTCTAGACCAAATACTTAGTATCTTAGCACAGCAACTTTTCAGCAAGATAAATGTAACTTTTTCATTAATATTAAGAAATTATTGACAAAACAATCTCCTATATCTTGCTGAAAAGTTTCTTGTAAGTGAGTTTTGTCTTTTTGCGTTAGAAATTAGAGAATAATTACTCAGCAAGCTTTTTTGTTTTTGCAGTGAGACATTTGCCAAATGAACAGCAACAGTGTACAGTTACATGAAAACGTAAAGACACCACATGAAAGTGTGCATGTGATTTTAAGAGATCTAAACGTGTGGAAACGTGTTATAACAAAACTAACATAGCCAAATAATACAAACTGAATACATTTTCAGTAAAATAAAATCCTTTGTAAAATATAATGAAAATGCATTTTTAGTTGAGGAATATTTTAAGACAACCCCATTTTTATTCTACCTAAAATGGCTAAAATCAAACAAAGATGTATCACATCAGGTACACATGATTAAATCATTTCTTTTTATTTTGCAGGAGGCTTTCTGTTAAAAAAAAATCACATTTAGAATTGTGTGCTTTTGACTCCTGAATACCAGATCAAAAATCTGTGTAAATTAGGAATCTCAGATTGTAACAAGTAATGAGCCTGACTAATGGATTTCTACTTATCTCAAAATAACTTGAAATCAACCGTCGCACTGATGGAAAAAAGTCTTGCAATAATCAAATGCCAACATGACCTTGCAGCACAAGCAGCGTTGCCCGGAGAGCAAACCACAAGATGCTAAAAGAAATCTCACAAAACCACAAAATGTCACAGAACCTGCAGCCAATTTTTGCTACTGTTAATATGAAAGTGCATGGCTGTACAGCCAGAAAGAGACATGGAAAACACAAAGGCAGAGAGAAAACAGAGAGAATGTAGACAAGGATGAGATTACTGGAATGAAGCTTTTGAACAGACATTCAATCAATTTACCAAAGGCTGCTTGAAAAAATATCATCTGTTATAATATTAAAGCTGAAGCAACACTGACCACTGCAACATGAAAATTACCGAAACATATGAGTAAGATCCACAAAAATTGGCTAAGATTTAAAAAATGGATATGGATTTTGCTGTCTAAGTGCAATTAAATAACTTCCTCTTCTAGAAAGAGGCCAATACTGGCTTGCTAATGTTAACGTCCTTGTCTTTTAGACTATTTTATAATGTGCAAAAAAGAAATATCCTAAGTTAAAAGATTTTCTTTTTCTTTGATGAATAGTGCAACATGTGACAAAAAAAAGCACAAAGCGTAACAAAAATAAAACCAGCTGGATACTCCAAATTCAGTTATTGTTCTTTTATTTGGTGAACATGATACAGTGAGTGAGTAAATGAGTTATTTATTTGAGAAATAGACTTTTGAGTTAACATGATTTCTGATTGCCTCCTAAAACTCTAGTCCAACAATGCAATTTTCCACAATTTATCTTTCAGCCTGCCTTCATTGCTGGTTGCTTGATTTTGATTTAATGGCGTCTTCCTGTCGGCCTCGCTGTGCAACCAAAGCCAAACAGCCCAAAAACGTGACGAACACCAAATCCTCTAATCTGTTTTAATGCAGCCAAAGTGTGAAAAAGCCTGCTGGAACAGTAAATGTGTCGTAATTAGACTTTGATAATTAGAGACAGGGGGCCGAGGGAGGTCCCAAAGTGATTATTATGGCAAAGTGAAAGCCAGAGAAACAGAAGGAGAGTGGGCTGAAGTTCACCAGCAACTCTCACTGAGAAACAGGCGAGACCCAAAGCTGCAGGCAGAAAGAAGAAACTCAGACTCACTGTAGTTTCTCATATAACTTTAAATGTCCCCACTGTTTAAACCAATTCACTCTCAATATTTCTCTCTATAACCCTTTTGTCTGCCAGTCATCAGGATCATCTCTGTGTTTTTCTCTCACCTGCAGTCCAGCTTCTCCATTTCAAAGTGTGGGTTGAAGTTGAGGACGATGCGCTGCGATGGCTCCGGGGCTGTGATAACCCAGTGGCAGTTCTGGTGGGGTGGATACTCCTGCGGGTAGCCAGGGGTGGTGATGTAGCCGGCAAATGTGGCATCTAAGTTTCCGCCGCATGGCTCAGAGGCTGGGTGAATGGAAACAGATGAGGCATGAGTGACATCAGAAAAAATATATGAAATTTATCTTTCTATTTATTTGTATTTATAGGAAGATCTTACTTTAAAAGATTGGTGATAACAATTAATTGACAAGCGGCCATTTTCTTAACCTGTTGTTCACAGGTTGTCATTCACAATACAGGGGTGTCAAACTCCAGTCCTCAAGGGCCGCTGTCCTGCAGTGTTTAGATGTGCCACAGGTAAAAAACAGTGGAATGAAATGGCTTAATTACCTCCTCCCTGTGTAGATCGGTTCTCCTGAGCCTTGCTAATGACCTAATTATTCTTTTCAGGTGTGGTGCAGCAGAGGCACATCTAAAAGTTGCAGGACAGCGGCCCTTGAGGACTGGAGTTTGACACCCCTGTCAAGAGAGGACCCAAACTTGGGTCCTCTCGTGAATAACAGGTTAAAAAACTTTGGTCTTGTGTTGTATCAAGAAGTAAATCATCTTTCCACAAAATAAAAGGCTAAACCTTTCATAATATGCTGAATTTAAAACAAGAAACACAATATATTTTAACAATTTCTTGAATGAGCGCTGTTAAGGTGAAATTATAGGAGTTTGTCGAGTGTTCATGTTTAAAAACAGAAATGCATTAAGTGCATTCTGCATCCCACAATTGACTTTATTTCTGTTTCTCGTTCTGGCATGGGTCTGCCATCTTTATTTCTGTCTCTGGCTCATTTAAGGATGACAAGTGGCACCATCTGCTGGACAGTGGCCAAACTACAAGACTGATGTTAGTTAATCGATTGGAATCATTTTAATCCAATGAAGCATTAAATGGCAATTAATCATACGTCTATTAATTGTTTGTGTCTCTAATTAAAGGGTCTAACCTTTCCTAAAATGTGCTAATATGAAAATAGTTTTAAATAATTTATTATCTCAATGTTTATTACAAATGTGCTTCAGATGCTAGAAGAAATCATAAAGAAAGAAATTGAAAGTAAAGGAAAACAAATTTAGAAGACGCTCTCAATAACACTTCAAAGTTGACACCAGCAGAAAAAAGTGCCATCAAGGTCAGTGTTATGTATTTGTTGTGAATCAACACAATTATCATCAAAGATGCATTTCTTCATTTTGATTTTTATCTGTAATTGGGGTAAAAAAACAAGGAGAACAATCAAAATAAAAGATCTGTTCAGAAAGACCGCATATGAGAAACTGAGAATCTCAACAACCTGATGAACAGAGGCATTGTTGTGGTTCATGATGACACACAGACCTGCCATCACACACACTCAGCCCTCCAGAAGCCACAGTTACTGTCACAGAGCGGATCCACTTGTCAGCAGTCATATGTCTGTCTCATGTCATAAACAATGGCACTTATTCACAGCTGCAGATTCAATCTGACACAGATGGGCAACACATTCATATCTCTTTCACCCAGCAGCATAACACACACAACTCTACTGTACAAAATATATGGGCTCTGTTGTACTAAAACGGTGGCTGCTCTTTTTGATTGACTGCACAAACTCTCAGCTCTGGACATGTAACTGTAAGTTATAATATAATTATAGGTTTCTATTAATTTGCTTTTCACAACCATTACCTTTTACTAATTTCTTGCTCCATCCTTCTTACAGTTTCTTACAAGAAAGTTCAATTTTTTAAATGTCATGTTACAACAACAAACTTCATTTTATCTGTGATAAGTGCATACTTCTGAAGTGGAAAGAAAACGGTGCATTTTTTTTTACAAACTAAAATTTGGAAAGTGTGGCATGCATTTGAATTTGCATCCCCTGACACAATGATTTGAGAGTCACCTTTTGCTGAAACTTTAGCCGCATTAAACACTATTGAAGTCAGTGAGCTCTTTCACCATCTGTGACCTCTAAATTTAAGTAAGAATTTAAAATAGCACAAATAAAGTAACAGAAAACAGTAGTAACAGACTCTGTTCTCACAAAGCAGTATAAATAATCACAATGTCATGTAAGGATTTAAATTGTGACCAGTGCTTGCTCAAGGAAGTGAAAGGAAAATGTTTTTTGATTGCAGTTTTGAAAAAAGCAACCATAAAGATGGCATTATTTCAGCAGTAACAAATAATAATAGTGGAAAAAGAAATCGCTGTATCTGCAAAAAAGCAGATGGATTTTCTGTAAATATTTGGGGAAAACGATGGCCACGACGGACTAGGTTATTTAAATGAAAACAGCATCTGCCAGTGCTGGCTGATTGATGGGAAAATACTTGGCTGGTATGCAACACCCTAAAATAATTTCCTGTTTTCCAGAGAACGGGAGAACAAACTCACAATTGGACTCCTGACAGAGTTCATTATTTACTGAGCCACGGCTAAATACGCATCACGAGACATGCCTCCAGGAGAAATGTAGAAGAGAGCAGAGCCTGTCTGAGGAGGCTGTGTAAGCCACCATCAGGCCTTCTGTGCTATGACGTTTTATTTATCACCACTGTGCTGCGAGGGCTAGCATAGCCAAGCCAAACTGCTCAGCAGAATACAACATGGTTTAAAGCTATTAATAGACTGGCTACTGTAAACCATCTCTGAGAGGAGTAAGACATGCACACATAAGGCACAGCATAAACACATAACCAGATATCACCACTACATGCAATTAATACAGTTTATAATTCATAAGGAATAGTCATTAGATTCATTTTCATTAATGTATTTCAATAAAAAAAACAGGCCAACTCAGGATCTGATACATATAAACAGTTTAAGTCTCAAGCAAGAGAAGTTTAGAGAGAAGATCAGATTTCAGCAGTCAGCAAACAACATGACTGACATTTTGGCTTTTATACCTGGTGTCTGCCTCACTCTGTCTGCTAACAATTAATGATCAGCAGTCTGGATCTCTCTAATTCCCTCTCCCTCACTCTAAGAACCAACTAATCCCGTCCATCTCCTATCTGTTTCCAATCTCCCTGGTGACACACAGAAATACAGGAGTAGAGTTACAAGAGCCGTGTAACCCAGCCACACGCATTTTGTGTCAGCACCACCTGGATTAGTGTTTAACCACTCCACAATCTGAAGGCAGCACCAACCAAAAACCAGGTATAGGAGCTTTGCTTAGATAGCTCTGTGTAGAAGGTGTGATGTGTGAGAAATAAAGTCATAAACTTTAATAGATTACAAATATATTTGATTGAAAAACTGCATTCATTTAGATTTGATTTTTCGTCACAAACTGAAGTGCTGCTTATGTTGAACTTGGTTAAAAGTATTAAACTAAGCAATTAGCAAAAAAAAAAAAGTTAATCAAATGACCTATTTTGCATTAAATTAAACATCCAACGTTTCCTTGTGATTTTTTGTAAATATTTAGACACATCATGTCTTACTGTTTTCATGTCTCTTAATGTTCAACATACATACTAAACAATAAAACACACTCAATGCTTTTCTTTCGGCCAAAATCATAGCAACTGAGGCAAAAGCAAACTGTAAAAAAAATTCTCTAACCATCCATCCCATATTATATAAATGGTATTTACTGCACATAAACAGGGGATCTTGTAATTGTTATGCAAAGAACAACAACTTGCAAAGTGTAAATCTGGGAGATGACAAGCTGTTAGTAGAACAGACTGATCAAACCATAAATCTTCAATGTATCATAACAGAAAAATGCTGCGGATGCAGACAGGCCTTTAAAATTTACCCAGACTGTTTATCTTTTTCTTACAGCCGACTGTCATCCTCAACCAACTGTCTTCTTGATGAAGAATTAGAGGAGAAAACAATTCAACCACCTGCACAAAAACCCAACTGAGCAGCATAGAGCTGTTCTGTTAATTCAGTTTTCAGCATTACGGCTCTCTCTCATCTCCCATTGCTCACCTTTGACCTATTGCTGATAAGGATAGTACCTCTAAGAGTTTGAGGAATCAGACTGATCAGTTTATATGGAATACTGTGTCTGCTTCTCTCTTAGAAACTATCAATCCCAAGAGATTCACGCAAAGTCATTAAACAATTACTGAATCCAAACAGGGCAGAAAGTGACAAATTGAGCTCAAGAGTTCACAGCTGACATCATCTCGGATTAGGTGCCAGTTAAAGTAGACTTGATTGTGTTCGCTCATCTGCACACACAGTCATTTAGATATATGCACACTGAAATGAAATGTCAGGTCCTTGCAGTGGTAAGGCAATAATATACGCAAGGAGGGAGAGCTAAGCATTCTTTAAAACAGAAGAAAGCGTGTAGTGTGCCTTGGAGAACTTTTTAACTGCATGTCCAAAATTGTTTTGATACTAAAACATTCCAGACTTGAGGAGGCAAAAAACTTGGTGTCTGTAAGGATTTTTGTCTAAATTTTAACAGTATTCAGACCATATTACATATAAACCATATCTCACTATAACCTTATAAATATTGACAGAAAAAAGAATTTTGTGTCAAAATAAGAAACAGAAACATGCCTCTTATTTATTGTAATGTTGCATAAACAGGTCTCTGGAGAATAGGAAAAAAAAAATCAAGCATGCAGCTGTTGGTTGTCTAAAACACTCCTGCCGAAATGCTGAACGGATCCAGGCAAATGGACCGACTCTCTGGTTATCCAAGGACAGAACTTAAAACTTTAAAGCCTGTAAAATTCCATAAGGTATATGAGTATTAGGGCCATAATAATAAAAAAATATATATATATATTTTTTTTTTTACAAGAATGAGGTCAAAATAATACAATACAGTTGTATTACAAGAAATCATATTGAGAACAAAGTCGAAATAATGCAAGTCATAAGTCATAATAATTTGAGAATAAAGTCAGTACTTTGAGAATTGAGTCATAATACTATGACTTCATTCTCGTAATATAATTTTGTTCTCATAATGTAATTTTTTCGTAGTATTACGCTAATACTGTGTCGTACCTCTTACATACCTTCAAGAAATTTTAAAATTAATTTTTTTGACATACAGAGACCCACTGCAGTGATATAAGGACTCATGTGAGACCTGTAA